GGAGCCAGACAACCCCACTGATCCTCAAAGACGGCGAGTCCAGACCATGGATTCTTATGTTCCAAAATGCGCAGATGGACCTAGGGCAGGTGTCCCTGGATGTGGTGGAAGGTTGTCCTGGGCTGATACAGACCGAGTCCTTGGTCCCACACTTCCTCCACAGTCCTGACGTAGAAATAGAGGGGCCACCAATCTCACAGGTACCCTCCTTGCAGGAAGGGGCAGCGTGGGGCAAGGCTGGGCAGGGCAGTCCTCTGGAAGCCGGGTGGGGATGTTCAGAGATCATAATCGCGTGCTGCCCCTCAGCCCTTTTGTGGCTCTGTCTTCTCAAAGAAGAGTCTTCTGCAAACTAAGAAGTGCAAATCGAACAGCTGAGAGGATGGCACAGAGCTGCCCCGAACAGGGAAAAGGAGATCCCAGATGCCGAAAAATAGTCAGATGCCATTGAGAAATCCTTGGGATAATCGCGGAGGAATCATGAGAATTACAGAGCCCTGAGAGATAAGGAAATGGCAAGTGTAATTTTCAAAAAGGGAAAGAAGGCAGGTCCTGTGAGGTATAGACAACTTAGCTTGATGTTGACTCTTGGCCAGAATCTTGAACGATGTCTGAGAAGGTGGTTTTCAAGCTCTCACAGAGGGCATCAGCCACTCTGAAGAGCCAGCCCCGGCCTCAGAACACACGTGGTGTCAGTGCACTCACCTCCTTTCCCAGCAAGAACATCTGATGGCAAACATGTAAGTGAGGTTGCTGATGGCCCACGGTCCGGGAAGGAGGGGATGAGAAAGGAGACTGGCCTCACTGACTCTTTTTAGATCAAATCAACAGAGACAAATTCTAGCTAGTTAAAGCTGAAAAGGTATCTTATTCAAGGATATAGAGCTGCTTACAGACTCTGGGAAAGGGCTAGAGAGTCGAGTTTGGGCATCATACGCAGAACCACATCCAAAATCACGGGGTTGGTCCTGAGAGGACACAGAAGCTTGTCAACAGTAGCCTGGACACCACCATTCCCACCACCAACACCATGACCCTGGTGCCCCTAAGGCCATGGGACTGTCCTCACTCTCTTGAGCTCCTGGGTCAGAGTTCAGCATGATGCCCTCCACCATTGGAGCCCAGATCACACGGCCGTACCCAAGCTGCAAGGGGTGCTGGGAAAGCCAGCCACTGGCATTTTCCTCCTTTCATCCCGGGAGCTGGTCTCCACTCCAGAAAGACTCTTAAGGTAGATAATTGCCCCAAATAGAAAAGGGGCTCAGATCACGGTGGCCACAGAGATTGGCTAATGTCCTGCTACTGCTCACAGAGGTTGAGGGAGAGGGTAATTGGGCAGGTTTATCAATGGTTGAAGGATCACAGAGTTGCTAATTAGTCATGCTTTTTCATCTAAAAGAATTTTGTTATTGACATAACACGGAGCTGCAGGACTCTGTGTTTTTGTGCTATACAAGGATTTTTTTCTTTAATGAGTGGCTTATTCTATCTGCAGGTGACATAGAACTAGCATGGAATGCTAATACATCCAAGGGCAAAATCAGAATCACAAAGGATCTCTGGGAGTCTGAATCAGCCAGCTCGTGTGACAGGACACAGTCTATCAGTAAGTAAATGGCAGGCTCTGTTTTCAGGTTTTCAAAACCCAACTACTCAAACGTGTCGCCGCTGCTAAGAAACAAGCTGTCATTTAATGTGGTTGCCAGGAAAGCTAATTAAACCCTAGGCTGCATAAATGGGCACACAGTGCTCAGAACAAAGCCGTCTGGCTCCACATTCACGGGCCACAGCCAAGCCCTGTGCCAAGGCCCAGGCACCGCAGGCCATGAGGGCAGGCCAGCCACAGATGCCCAGAGGGAATTCAGGAAGGGAAGTGGGCTCAGCACCCAGACAGGAAGAGGGGCCTTGGGGGGAGCAGAGCAAGAGGGGTTAGTTCAGTTCAGCTCAGTCGCTCAGCTGTGTCCAACTCTGGACTGTAGCACGCCAGGCCTCCCTGTCCATCACCAACTCCTGGAGTTTACTCAAACCCATGTCCGTCAAGTCAGTGATGCCATCCAACCATCTCATCCTCTGTCGTCCCCTTCTCCTCCTGCCTTCAATCCTTCCCAGCATTAGGGTCTTTTCCAATGAGTCATTTCTTTACATCAGGGACCAAAGTATTGGAGTTTCAGCTTCAGCAGCAGTCCTTCCAATGAATATTCAGGACTGATTTCCTTTAGGATGGACTGGTTGGATCTCCTTGCAGTCCAAGGGACCCTCAAGAGTCTTCTCCAACACCACAGTTCAAAAGCATCAGTTCTTTGGGCTCAGCTTTCTTTATAGTCCAACTCTCACGTCCATACATGACTACTGGAGGGTCTCCAGTTACCAGAATCTGAGCGTGGGAGAAGGGTGAGATCCAGCCCACAGTGGGTCAAGGGCTGAAACTGAGGCCAGTCCAGCCAACCACAGGGCATCCTCAACGACAGGAAGAAGCTGTCCCAGCTGAGCTGGAAGAGCCTGGGGCGGGGCGGGGGTGGGGGTCACACCTACCTGTCCCTGACGGTGTTCAGGGGAGGGACCGTGGCCAGCAGTCAAGGTGCTGTTGGGGGACACTCAGCTAAGCTTGGGCGCAATGAGCTTCATTTTTAAGCTTTTTTAGTTTTAATATTTTTATTTAAAAATATTGAGATATAATTGACATGTAACACCAAGTCAGTGTCAGGTTAATGATATGCTATGCATATTAGGCACAGCATAATGATATGGTTTATGTATGTGCTGTGAAATGATCATCACATTGTCTAGGTTACAGAATTTTTTTTCTCATGATGAGAACCTGTAAGATCAACTCCCTTAGCAGCTTTCACATATGCAGTACAGTATTGTTTTTTTTTCAGACTTTAAACTTTTTATTTTGTATTGGGATATAGTCAATTAACCGGAGAAGGAAATGGCAACCCACTCTTGCCTAGAGAATCCCGTGGACAGAGGAGCCTGGTGGGCTGCTGTCCATAGGGTTGCACAGAGTTGGACACGACTGAAGCGACTTAGCATGCATACGTGCATTGGAGAAGGAGATGGCAACCTACTCCACAGTTCTTGCCTGGAGAATCCCAGGGACAGAGGAGCCTGGTGGGCTGCCGTCTACAGAGCCGGACACCACTGAAGCGACTTAGCAGCAGCAGCAGCAGCATAGCCAGTTAACAATGCTGTGGTTGTAGCTCAGCTGGTACACAATCCGCCTGCAATTCAGGAGACCTAGCTTCGATCCCTGGGTTGGGAAGATCCCCTGGAGAAGGGAAAGGCTACCCACTCCAGTATTCTGGCCTGGAGAATTCCATGGACTGTATAGTCCATGGGGTCACAAAGAGTCGGACACAACTGAGCGACTTTCACTTTCACTATAGCCAATTAACAATGCTGTGATAGTTTCAGATGAACAAGGAAGGGACTCAGCCATACAGACACATGCATCTATTCTCCCCCAAACCCCCACTTCCATCCAGGCTGGCACGTGTGGAATCTAAAAAGAAATAATACGAATGAACTTACAAAACAGAAAGAGATTCACAGACTTAGAAAATGAACTTACGGTTGCCAGGGCAGGGAGGTAGGGTGGGGGAAAGGGATAGTTAGGGAGTTTGGGAAGGTCATGTGCATATTCAAAACAGATAACCAGCAAGGACTTACGGTCTAGCACAGGGAACTCTACTTAATGTTATGTGCTGTATTGTTAACTGTAGTCACCTTACAATGCATTATACCCCAGGACTTAGTTATTTTGTAACCGTAAGTTTATACCCTTTGACTCCCCTGATCCCCCACTGTTAGTGAGCAGTATTTGTCTTTCTCTGACTCCTTTCACTTAGCGTAATGCCCTCCAAGTCCACCCATTTTGTTGCAAATGACAGAATTTCCTTCTTTTTCAGGGCTGAGTAATATTCGGTTGTATGTATGTATGTATGTATGTATGTATATATGTGTGTGTGTATATATATATATACATATACCACATCTTCATTATCCATTTATTTACTGATGGACACAGGTTGCTTGTGTCTTGGTTTTCATAAATAGTGCTGCTATGAATATTGGGTACATGTATCTTTTCAAATAAATATTTTCATTTTTTCAGACCAATAAGAGTAGAATTTCTTTGTCAGATGGTAGTTCTATTTTCAGTTTTTTGAGGAGCATCTATACTGTTCTCCATCACAGCTGCACCAATCTACATTCCCACCAACAGTGAGGAGGGTTTGCTTTCCTCCACACGCTCTCCAGCATTATTTGTTGTCTCTTTGATGACGGCCGTCCTGACAGGCGTGAGGCTGATACCGCATTGTGGCTTTAATCTACATTTCCCTGATGATCAGCGATACTGAGCATCTTGTCATGGGCCTGTCAGCTCTGTGTCTTCTTTGGAAAAACGTCTCTTCAGTTCTTCTGCCCGTGTTCTAATTGGATTACTTGCTTTTGCTTCTGAGTTGTATGAGTTCTTAAATATTTTAGAGAGTAGCCACTTGTCAGATATATGGTTTGCAAATACTTCCTCCCATTTAGTAAATATCCTTTTCATTTGTTGATGGGGTTTTTGTTTGTTTGTTTGTTTTGCCATGCAGAAGCATTTAGTTTGAGGCAGTCCCACTTGATAACTTTTACTTTGAACTTTCCATTTAAAAATTCTATTTTTTATGAAAATGTGAGGCATTAGGAAGGTACCATGTGCAGCTCTAATGTACCCATGAGCGTTTTAGATGTGACTTGGTCTCTGCTGGATACTGGAGTGGAGACGGGCGATGGCCGCACCCGCCCGCAGGACTAGCCCTGCTTTCCTCTCACTTCCTGCTGAGTCAGACAGTCACGCCAGCCTGCAGCCGCATGCAGGGCGGGCAGCAAGTGCAGGGAGCCCAGAGAAAGCAGATGAGGATGGTCAGCTTCAGGGCTCCTGGAGGAGACAGTGCGGGCCTCTCATCCACATTCCAGAAGCGAAACAAGGCAGGGGATGAGCAGAGGCAGTCGCGATGCTCAGGAGGGCTACACCAGCTGGGCGGGACCCTCAGCACAGCAGGCGCCAGGTCAGGTGCGGGCAAAACGGGGAGAAGGGGAGAGCAGACCCCACACCGCCACCTCAGACCTGTGGGTAACCCCACCCTTAGGGCAGAAAGCGAAGAAGCACTAAAGAGCCTCTGGATGAAAGTGAAAGAGGAGAGTGAAAAAGCTGGCTTAAAGCTCAGCGTTCAAAAAACTAAGATCATGGCATCTGGTCCCATCATTTCAAGGAAAATAGATGGGGAAAATGTGGAAATGGTGACATTTTATTTTCTTGGGCTCCAAAATCACTGTGGATGGTGACTGCAGCCATGAAATTAAAATATGCTTGCTCCTTGAAAGGAAAACTATGACAAACCTAGACAGTGTATTAAAAAGCAGAGACATTACTTTTCCAACAAAGGTCCATCTATCAAAGCTATGGTTTTTTCAGTACTCATGTATGGATGTGAGAGGTGGACCATAAAGGAGGTGAGCCCCGAAGATTGATGCTTCAAACTGTAGTGCTGCAGAAGACTCTTGAGAGTCCCTCGGACAGAAAGGAGATCCAACCAGTCCATCCTAAAGGAAACCTGTCCTGAATATTCATCGGAAGGACTGATGCTGAAGCTGAAACTCCAATATTTTGGCCATCTGATGCGAAGAACTCATTTGAAAAAACCCTGATGCTGGGAAAGATTGAAGGTAGGAGGAGAAGGGGACGATAGAGGGTGAGATGGTTGGATGGCATCACGACTCAATGGACATGAGTTTGAGTAAACTCTGGGAGTTGGTGATGAACAGGGAGGCCTGGTGTGCTGCAGTCCACGGGGTCACAAAGAATCGGACACGACTGAGCAACTGGACTGAACTGAGTGCCAAGGAGCATGATAGCAGCAGATTCCTGGGAGTTCAAAGTCCGACTGGTCCCGGCCCTGCTGATCACACCCCAGAATGCAGGTGCATTCTCTGCACAGGAGATGGGCTCTGTGACTGGGATCTTTGGGGGCGTGGTGGTCGCAGGGGTTTCCAGTGAGTCCAGAGGGCTTCAGGGACCCTCATGGTGACATTGGTAATACCTCTGATGTGCAAGCTGGACTTTATTTCTCTGGAGCTGCGCTGCATTTGCTAGTGAGGTGGTGGAAACCTCGGCTTGGCCATTGAGGGCACGAGAACCCCTTCCAGCCTCGAAGCCTCTTCTGGACAACTCCTCGGTCAGTTCGGGATTTTAACTTGTTCAGGGCTGGTCTCCCCCGTCCCCTTCTCCTGTGACCCTGGAGGTGAGGTTGTGCTTTCTGTGGCCTGTCCCCTTCCCTGGGAGGCGTCTTGTCACCTTGCTTCAGGTGTTGTCCTGGCCCTGTGCCTTCAGCCCTGACCTCCTCGTCTGCTCTCTCGGGAGGACTGTGGCGCCTGCTCCCTGCCCCCTGCCTCCCACACCAGCCGGGCTGCGGCTGCCGCCTTCACCCCACTCCCAAGCAGCTGTGGTTCCCCGCAGAGAGCTCAGGGGGGCACGGGCGGGTGGCTGTCTGAGACCCCCACCAGGGCAGGCTTGCCCTCCCCACGTTGCTGCAGGGCGGGGGAGAGACTCAGGACACAGCCCTCTGCCCTCGCCCCCTGTTCCACCCCCAGCCCCAGGCGTCTCAGCCCCGGGGTTGCAGCCCCCACTGCCCACACCTTCTGAAGGGCAGTCCACATTCCTGTCTAGGCTCTGCCCCTGCCTGTCCTGTCCAGGAAATATTTTCATTGCTTTTTTCTTGATGGGGAAATGAGCTTCTACCATGACCTGTGTGTTAGAGGTTAATACCTATCCTATGCACTCCTCCTCCAAGGTTTCACCATCTTCTTAAAGCCAAGCCCTTTGGGAATTCAGGACCAAATGCCACTTCTCTCTCTTCCCACCCACCCCCACACACGCACACCACTAGCTCTTGCCAGTGTCTTCAGCTACAGATGTTGGGAATTACGACTCCACTCAGCGCCTCGCTGACTGCTGTGTTCAGGCTGTCTGCACCTTCTCCTGAGTTCATCACGGCGTCAGACCCATGGGTAGAGAACCAACAGCTCCTGGAAGGAAAACAACCTTAGCTTCAAATTTTAACCCATATGCCTCATCTCCAAATAAATGGAGGTGTGAGTAAAAGCCGAGACGATACGGGTCTGATTTGCCTCCGTCCTGGTGTGACTGGAGCAAGGAGAAGCCGGGGTCCCTCGTCATATCTCAGAGTAACTCACCACATCGGTCAGGGTTTCTTTGTCTCCACACCGGCTCCCGGAGAAAATCACAGGGTCCCCTGCCTTCCCTCGAACTCAGTGGAGGCTTAGACCGCCTGAGCTCCTGCTTTAATCCATAAAGTCTGGGTCCATTTTGAAGTTAGCACCCTAGTCATGACTGCGCTGTGGCTTCTTATCGTAAAGACTTTATGTTTCAGAGGAAGCTGGGCTTCTGTGCTCGGAGTCTGCTGGGGCCGGTTTTCTGTCGTCTCCATGGTACTTTCTGCAGGTGTCCATGTGGGGACCATGGTGCAGGCTCAACAGCAGCGATTTCTGAGGGGTAGTCTGGCCCCAGGCCGTCTGTGTGCAGCCGTTCCCCGTGGTCCCTGACCTCTGGGGGTCACTTTCTCCCACTCCACCTAGCCCACTGTCACCAGTGGCCTGCATCTTGTCCACGCCAGTGGCATCTCATCAGTGTTGACGGGCGTTTGGTGGGGACCCTGATGGGCACTGGCCTGGGAGACGCAGCTGCGTGGACACAGCTGGGGCTGGCTTCTCGGGAGGCAGGCAGAGGGGAGAAAAAGCAGAGGACGGGATTCCACTGAGGAAGAGGGACATTGAGGCTATTTCAGCATTTCCCCTGAGCTTCTCCATGTTGGAGCAGAGGTGGCGCCTGAGGTTGACAGGATCGTGGGAGGTGGGGGGCTCTTTAAGAAAGAACACAGAGACCCCACCTGGGGAGAGAGCCCCAGTGTTCTCCTTACTTGCTGCAAGTAATCAATCCTTACTTCTCCTGGCAAAAAAAAAAAAAAGAATACAAAATTATGTGCACAGAATTAGTTATGACATAAAGAAATCATAGCAGATTACATATTTTTAAAAGCTAACAAATAAAATCACAAAATCCAGAAACATAATAACGATTATTTGAATTAACTAACAGCCCTCTGTACTTCTGTAAAACATTTCCCCCTACCTTCCTTGCCTGTATAAACCATGTCTGGTGCAAGAATGGATGCTCATGAGGGTGTTCAGTGTTTTCAGCCTGAAAACCACCATTCCAGATGCTTCGGCTGATGGCTAGGACACACCTCATGCACTTCCTTGGTGCTCGGCCAGCTGGGCTGCGGGGGGCAGCCTCTGGCTCCCTTTTTCCAGAGTCCTGAGCCCCGTGGAGGAGAGGGGCCCTGTTCCCCTCTGTCTGGGCTGTCTCCCTACACCCGCCTGCAAAGCAGAGGTGGTGACCCTGCCGAAAGGATGACTTCTGTGTCTTGACCCTCATGAGGGCGTGTGGACCTGCTCTGTACCCAGGGAGCTCACCCAGGTGGCTGGCCAAGGGTATAGCCATTATGCCTGCTGTCCTGGACACAGCCTGGCTGCAGAGAAGGGGCGCCGGGGGTCGTTACAGGCTGTCCTTGAAGGAGAATGCGGTGATGCAGGGTTCACAGGTGCCAGGTCTGGAGATGGAGCCCAGCCCCCAGGGCGGCATTGCGGCCTGGGGTCCCCAGATGCTGGGAGGGAGGGGGACGTGAGCATGACTCAGAGTCTCCGCTCCGCTCTTGTCCCGTGGGGGGCCTGGGGACCCAGGGCTCTGGCGGGAACGAGCTGATTTCAGGGAGTCTGGTTTTGGGGTGCTCCCAGGGCTGAATGTTCAGTCTCGCTTGCTCTGGAAACCCTGGCTGCTTGGCGCAGGACCCACGAGATCACACACCCGGCCATTGGTGGAGGAGGAGCGGTTGGAGCCCCTCAGACAGCGCAGCCCTAGGGGAGCCGGTGGTGGGCCCGGGGTCTCTTGGAGGGAATGAGCCGTGGTCTGCATGCCGACTGCATTCAAGGGCTTGGAGCCAGACGCAGCTTAGCTTCGGTTTGTTAAAAGCAGCTTTATTGACAGGATTTCCTCTTGGGGTCTGGCTGGAGGAACTGTCCACTCTCCCCCCTCCCCCTGCTGAAGTCTGAAGCCCACAGGTGGACCCCAGGACCCCGCTCTTCCAGAGGGTCCGCTGGCGCCTTCGGTCTCAAAGGCCAGTGCAGCGAGACTTGCCGGGGCCACACCATGCCCACCACAGGGCCAGTGGTAATGATGGTTGTCTGCCCAGTGAACGCGTGAAGTCAGGGGCAGAGGAGCCCTTTGTTGACTTTGGAAAATGCTGGATTTCCCAAGGCCTAAATCATAGACAGGCCACCCTGAGCCCACTGAGGGGGCTCTCAGCTGGTCGCCCAAAGGCAGGGAGCAGGGAACTGGAGAGCTTGGGGGGGCTTGGAGGGACTGTCCCTGCAGCATCTCACCCCCCTTCCTTAGTCACACATCCAGGAGATGACTGTCCCCAAGACTCACAGCGTGGGTGTGTTTGCACTGTGACAGCCGGTGATGCCATGGCCCTGCCGAGGTCAGGAACACATGGTGGGCTGGATGAAGCGGAAGTTCCCGTCACTGGGCTGTGTCCCACGTGACCCTCCACAGCGGGGCGTGTCCCAGGGGTCTGTGACTTCCCAGGCTAGCAGTGACCTCAGGCACAAGAGGACAGACACATGGGACACGCAGCTGGCAGGGAGGGTCAGTCCACCCCTCTCTGTCCCATGACCTCATGCAGTCTGGTCACCAGCATAGCCTTTTGTCCTTGGAGGGGGCAGGAACTCTGCAAAGTGGAGTCTCTCTAGCTTCTGTAGTTCATCTTCCCAGACTTGCCTGACCTTCAGGAGCTCAGTCTTTGGCTCATTTTACATGTGTTTTTTGAAATTTTTTTAAATGATGAACTACTGTGTGTTGAACATGTAGGAGAGTGCAGAAAATAACATAATAGGGTTCCAAGTGTCCATCAGCCTGCTTTAGCAAGCACTAACATTTTGCCCCATTTGTTTCAGACATTTGTACAACTGCATTTAGAATTAAATCTTCTGCATATCTATTTTTGTTCAGTGGAAAAGCACAAATGTTCAGTTCTAGTAGGTCGCTGGGTACACACAGTAGCCTCTTTGAGCCTCCAGATAACGGAAACCTCGTGGATCTGTGCAGAGAAGGGAAGCCCCAGATATGTGTCTTAAACAGAGGGATTGCCCGTAAAGATGGGCTCAGTGCCTGAGCATGTTTTCTCGGATTTACACTCTCCAGATTTTCTCCATCAGCCTTCCAAATGTCCACAGGGCTAATACCCATCCCCACCAAAAGCAGGACCCCTCCGGCTCTGAAAGTTCCAGGTGCAAAAAAGTATGAGTGAACTGCTCAGGGTCTGGCCCCCATCTAACTAGAAATGATAGTAAACGTGTGCAGAAAGTTACCAGCCCTTAAAACGATGTGCAGGACCGTTTAGATGTCCATGTCCAAAAGATAAATGTTTGTTCTCTGGCGATACAGGCTGGAGTTTTCAGGCTTTAGAGGGAGAGATGGCTCTCCTAGAATGTAGTCCTGAATCCCCAGACCCACTCATTTCCACCAGACTGTCCTGAGGCTGTCTCCCACTCGGAAGGCTTGGCGCCAGTTACATTTTTCCACCGAATGATGCCCTTTTAGCAGTTTCTCCATTTTTCCACAAAAGACACCTCTGTTCTTCCAGCCGCATGATCTGGCCTCAAGCGCCTTGATCCTTACCCATGTGCATCTTCCTTGAAAACATTTCTCACCTCTGTCTGCTCCTCCCCACGCCTCCTGCCGCCACTCAGACTGGGGTGTTTTGACCATGGGGTGGCTCTTGCAGTTGAGTCTGCCTTTGCCCGTTGTCCTTTTAGTCCAGTCTCGGCACAAAATTATTTTTAAAAGGAGCATTTTGTGCCCGCTCAAAATAATCCAGCAGTTCCCATGGCTGACCAGGGACCCGTTTTGTACCCAGGACTGCCTATATTTTCCCTAGTCGTTTTTTAATAATTAATGAGCGTGTTTACGCTTGGCCGCCCTGGGTCTGTGATGTGGCGCACAGGCTCCTCCTTGCCGCACGTCCTCTCCCGCTGTGGAGCGCAGAGATTCCTCTAGCTGCGGTGCGCAGGCTTCTCACTGCGGTGGCTTCTCCAGCTGCAGAGCGCCGGCTCCAGGGTGAGGGCGCAGTAGTTGTGGTGCACGGGCTGACTTGCTCCACAGTTGGCAGGATCTTCCCAGATCAAGGATGGAACCTGTGTGCCTGCATTGGCAGGCGGATTCTTTACCACTGGACCACCGGGAAAGGCCCCCTCCTAATCCTTTCTGTCTGCACGTATGTCTCTTCGTGGGCCCCAGACACACGGCACTGCTTGCCCTCTCTGATCCTCTGACTCCTCTTCAATTATTTTCTCTGCCTGAGTCTCCTTTTCCCTCTTCCGTTAAACTGACCGACCCTCACTGGGCGCCCACTGGCAGTCGGGTTATGTGAAATGTATGTGTGTGTGTGTTAGTCGCTCAGTCGTGTCTGACTCTTTGTGACCCCATGGACTATAGCCCACCAGGCTTCCCTGTCCATGAAATTCCCCAGGCCAGAGTACTGGAGTGGGTTGCCATTTCCTTCTCCAGGGGATCTTCCCAACCCAGGGATCGAACCCAGGTCTCCTGCATTGCAGGTGGATTCTTCACCATCTGAGCCGCCAGGGAAGCCATGTGAAATGCCGCTTGCCTGTAGAGACTTACAACCTCGTGGGGGAAACAGAAGAGTAAGCGGACAGTCGGCAGCCAGGCTGTGGTGATGGTACCACAGCATGGACGGATGGGGACCCCAGACCCAGGCCTGGGAGTCACAGCAGGCTTCCAGGGAAGAGGCACACAGGTTGTGGTTTGTTCTTTAGGTTAATGGGAAGGGAAAGGGAGGAAAGTGAGCCAGGGAGATGACTTGGAGGAGAGCTGGGAGAAGCCATGGGTTCTGGGCACATCTCAGCAGGACCAGAGAGACTTACAATGGATCGGATACTGGGAGCAGGAGAGGTGAATGCACACCCTTCTTGCCTGGAGTGCCTAGAAGAACAGAGCTCCCAGGCTCTTTCAAGCCCCCAGGACTCTGGGGGACAGAGGGGCTCAGCCTTTGACGGGCTGAGCTTAGTGCAAAGTGACCTGACAAGGTTTCAGTTCGGGAAGACCATTCAGTAAAGACTTGAAGGAGATGAGGGAAGCAAACATGGGTGTTTGGAGAGCCAGAGTCAGGCAGGCTCAGCCTAGTCCGGTCCACTGTTGTCCGTAAAAGACCCTCCACCTCCAGGGGCAGCAGCTGGAGCACACTCATCCTGACAACCTCCCTCCAGTGCAGAGAGCGCACCGTAGCACCGTGGTTACTCATGGGTGTTTGCTGAAGAGACGAGAGGAAGGAGTGCACTTAATCGGTAAAGGAGGTTGTTCCAACCGTCTTCCCTTCCAAGGAGGAGATCCTTGCCAAGACCCTCTGCATCTGTGGGCAGGGCCCTGGGGGTCTGAACCCTCCTTTTCAGGGTTAGTAGAGCCCCCTGCCACAGGATCAGCTGGGAAGGTGGTAAAACCCGCACCCCGGACCCTTCCCCAGACCTCCTCGAGCCAAATTCTGAAGGGAGAAGCTGGGACCTCTCAGTCACAGGCTCGTCAAGAGACTCTTCGGAAACTAACATTTAAGAAGTGCTGACACTGCAGAAGATGACCGCTGTTCACGCTGTCCCTCGGAGGCAGACTGTCTCTAGCCGTGATGGGGTGAGTTACAGCCGCTCTGCAGACTCATGTAACGCGTTCAGCACCTCATCAAGCCGCCTGGCTGAGCGGGAAGCCGGCTGGCCCCGAGCACCATGTGCTGTCCGACCGCTTCGGCAGGCGAGTCCTCCTGCCAAATGCCTCGCAGCTGAACTCCGCAGCGAGAGGAGAAAGGTATGTGAGTACGCACCAGTGCCAAGTCTCGTTATCCCGGGGGTTTTCAAACGACGGCCATGAGTCTGTCTCACTCTGAACTGTGAGGAAACAAAAGGCATGCTCCCTTCTCACCGTCTGAGCCACGGCAAGGACCCAGAGTCGCGTGTTCACCTTGACTCGCGTCTAGAGAGCCCTGCTTGGCTTGCCTTCCCAAACCGGACAGGGTCCACTCCCGAGGGGTAGTGGTTCCCCCTCGGTGCCCACAGCGCCTGGCACACAGCTGTCGCCTAGCAAGCCTGGACGAGGCTGTGACGCGCTCTCCCTGCCTCCTGAGATGAGGAGCCTGGCGTGCGCCCAGACCATCTGTGGGGGTCTCACTTGTTCCCGCCTTGTCTTCCGCACACCCCCATCCCAATGGTCCACTCCTCTCTATAGAGCTCTGCACACTTTTCATGGAAGATATTACTTTCTGCTGACCCCACAAAGAATTGGCAGGAGCCCTCGGAAAGGATGATACCGTAATTGTTCTTGTGGGGCTCCGTGGGGGGATAAATTTCTCATGATTCACGTTTCCAGACGGAATTCAGTTTCCCAGGGCAGTCATTCCAGAAACTTTTCTCAGCCTTTCTACTCTAAGAAATAAAAATAGTGATTTAGGGCTCGATTGCTCCCATGAGAGACTCCCCTGTTCATGGTGCAGAGCAGGAGCTGGGGCAGAGAAGAAGCTGGCTGGGAGGCAGGACGAGGGGCCCCAGGGGTCAGGAGGTGCTGCTGCCCGCCTCTCTGGAGGCTGAGCGCTGGGAGGATGGGGGGACAGGCCAGAACTGGGTTTGTCCTCATGATCAGGCCGCCCAGGAGGCTTGGGCAGCAGGAGGCCATGGACGCAACACCCTGAGACTGGAGGCAAAGTGGGTGCATCCTGTCCTTCCCCAAAATGGTGCTCACACACCAGGCTGGTGTCCACGGCTGTTCACATCGCTGGCTGCGGAGCTGTGCTAGAGGGGTCTGTGTCCCTGTAGTGGCTCAGTCGTGTCTGACTCTGTGTGACCCCATGGACTGTAGCCCACCAGGCTCCTCGGTCCATGGAACTCTCCAGGCAAGAATAACGGAGTGGGTTGCCATGCCCTCCTCCAGGGGATCTCTCCGACCTAGAGATCGAACCCAGGTCTCCCACATTGCAGGCCACCCCGGAAACCCACACTGCAGGGCTTCAGCTGTCGTGTTTCTCGAGCTTTTGCCAGGCTGATACGTGCACTCTTTGAACAGATATCTACATCAGCGTCTGCGCTGGGTGCCGGGGGCACAGCTGTAAACAGGGACGAGCCCGAGGGATGGCTGATCCATGAACTCTTATTCCGCAGCCTCAGAGTCAAGCCCGGGGCCTGTACTTCTCCCAGGCCTATTGTTGTTTTCAAGGGGACAAATTCAGAGTAAATGGATCAGAGTGAATTTTTCAGCAGTTCTTGCGACGGTCAGGGGAACCGCCTCTTCTAAGGATTTCAGATCTAATGCGTGATTGAGAATCGGCCGGTCAAACGTGCCCCAGGCGTTTGACTCATGTAAGGCTCAACGTTTCAGTGTCAGCTGACAGGATGGTCCGCTCCTGGTGCCGAGTGGCCAGCAGCCAGGCCCGCCCTGGACCTGCCCTCACCCTCGCTCTGAGGCTCGGGATGCTCTGTGACCCGGCTGGACCCTCCTTGTCTTCCTGCTGTGAAGGGATAAGCCCAGTGTCTCACCAGCCCTCCTCCTGGGTCTGTTCCTGCTCGAGGCCCCCCTGTTTCTCTACAAGCTTATTCTGGCCTCAGCGCTGGGCTGGAACCAGCGCCCCATCATCCTGGGCTCAGCTCACGCGCCTCCCGGGAGGGATCCGTCCCCGTTACCCGTCTGAGGATGCCCTTCTTCACTAGTGTGTTTCCTACTCTACAGAACAGACACTCCAAGATCTGTAGGAAGTTGGAAGTTCCTTGAGAATAGGAGGGTAGGGGCTCCCAATAAACAAGTGACATGGATCACGTTTCCTCCACTCTCGCCAGCTCTCTGGGGATGTCTGTGACTATCACCAGGGTGCCGCGGACTGGACCACTCTCTTGAAATCATATCTGGAAACATGGTACATTACCTAGAGCCACAGAACCTGAGTAACCTAAGGCATAAGATATTTTGTGTTAAATTGACTTGAACTAAATTAGCACCAGACCTGTAACTGGGTAAATGACATGTGACCCCAGAATTCCCTTTAATGGGGCTGAACAGTGGCCCTGGAAGATTTGCTCAAAGTGGCCACTTATTAAAAGGGTGATGTCACCCACGTTCCCTTTACTAGAATGGAAGCTAGAGCCCAGGGAGCTGGTGCCACTCCAAAAAGAGAACCAGCATGGGTGGGTGATTGAAACGTGATGGAGGGAGATGTTGCAGCCACCCTGTGCTCTGTGTCCCCTTGAGACAGGGTGTTGGCAGGATGGAGCCCTTCTGCAGCCTTTGTGGTAGCCTGAGCAAGATTTCTGATTACAGTTTCGATTTCCTTGCTTGTGATGGGTCTGTTAAGATCTTCTATTTCTTTCTGGCTCAGTTTTGGAAAGTTATACTTTTCTAAGAATTTCTCCATTTCTTCCAAGTTGTCCATTTTATTGGCATAGAGCTGCTGGTAGTAGTCTCTTATGATCCTTTTTATTTCAGTGTTGTCTGTCGTGATCTCTCCATTTTCATTTCTAATTTTGTTAATTTGGTTCTTCCCCCTTTGTTTCTTAATGAGTCTTGCTAACAGTTTGTCAATTTTGTTTATTTTTTCAAAAAACCAGCTTTTAGCTTTGTTGATTTTTGCTGTGGTCTCTTTAGTTTCTTTTGCATTTATCTCTGCCCTAATTTTTAAGATTTCTTTCCTTCTACTAACCCTGGGGTTCTTCATTTCTTCCTTCTCTAGTTTCTTGGTGGGAATGCAAACTAGTACAGCCGCTATGGAGAACAGTGTGGAGATTTCTTAAAAAACTGGAATTAGAACTGCCATATGACCCAGCAATCCCATTCCTGGGCATACACACTGAGGAAACCAGATCTGAAGGAGACACGTGCACCCCAATGTTCATTGCAGCACTGTTTATAATAGCCAGGACATGGAAGCAACCTCGATGCCCATTAGCAGATGAATGGATAAGGAAGCTGTGGTACATATACACCATGGAATATTACTCAGCCATTAAAAAGAATTCATTTGAATCAGTTCTAATGAGATGGATGAAACTGGAGCCCATCATACAGAGTGAAGTAAGCCAGAAAGATAAAGACCAATACAGTATACTAACACATATATATGGAATTTAGAAAGATGGTAATGATAACCCTATATGCAAAACAGAAAAAGAGACACAGATGTACAGAACAGACTTGTGGACTCTGTGGGAGAAGGCGAGGGTGGGATGTTTCAAGAGAACAGCATCGAAACATGTATATTATCTAGGGTGAAACAGATTACCAGCCCAGGCTGGATACATGAGACAAGTGCTCGGGCCTGGTGCACTGGGAAGACCCAGAGGAATCGGGTGGAGAGGGAGGTGGGAGAGGGGATCGGGATGGGGAATACATGTAGATCCATGGCTGATTCATGTCAATGTATGGCAAAAACCACTACAATATTGTAAAGTAATTAGCCTCCAACTAATAAAAATAAATGGAAAACAAAACAAAAAAACCGACAAGGAAAAATGAAAGTCTTCCCTGTTTTCTGTGTCACACACAGATACCCCGTTGTTTGGCAGCTGGTTAAAATTCCTATTTCCCTTGTCTGTTTTTTAGCGACTCTGGAGATCCAGCTAATGGGGGTCACCCTGTCTCTGCCCTCTTGGCTGGCCAGCTGGCCACACTTACTTTTCTTTGTGCGTGACTCTTTTCCTTCTCTCCTTTTCACAGCATGGTATCAGCAACCATCTTCACAGTACAACCTGTTGCAAAGCATTTGCTCTTCTGCGAATATAGTGACATAAAGGGCATGTTGCATGTATCCAATCCTTTTTACGACTTAAGATCCAAGATTTTTTTTTCCCCTCAGTGGCATGACCATCCACAGAAAAGATTAGTCAGCTCCTAGGGATTTGAGATTTTGCTAATCCTGCTAGAATGGGAAATTCTAAGAATTTCAAAATAGACTTTTCCATCTGTGGAGCTTCACTGACAGTTCCTGGACTGTACAGTGCTAACTCGGGGAAATGAAGGCTGACTTCACTGTCAGCGTGTCCGTCACACCTGTGAAACCTGAGGCGATGGTGTCCTTTCTCCTCCTGGTGAGGAGAGTGGTCCAGCCATGGGAGCCGGGAGACCGGCAGCCTCGCTCTCACCTCGCCTGTGGCTTCTGCTTGGTCCACAGCTGACAGGGACCCGCCGCTGAGAACCATTCACTGGCAGCTGAAGCCTCTGGTCTTCTCCCCACTTCACTGGGAAATCTCCAAGAGAAGACAGAGCCTCCCGGCTGCATAGGTGCTGCTTGAGGAGCATGCAGCCATCACCTTGCGCAGAGCTGAGAGCCCAGAGCATGATGGGAATTTCTCACCTGGACAAACCCAGGAGATCCCTCCTGAGCTGTGTAGGAAATTTGCTTCTGAGCCACGGGTCACAAAATAGATTGTTATGGTTATGAATTTTAGTTGACTGCTAGGTCATTGTTAATTCATCGCTGACTTAGGCAGAAAAAAATGAATTGTTAAATTGAGCAGAATTTTTTTGTTTTTTCCATGAGCATGAGCCTACAGCTGCTAGAAATCTTGCAGAGGAGAGGGTAAATAAACCCAGGAGCAGGGTGTGCTGTTTTCAAAACTTTCTGCCTGGGGAGGAGTCTGGAGAGCTAGAAGGTTCATTTTGGAAGATCAGTCTTCTATGCTGACAAGGGAGTGGATCTGCTATGGCCAGAAGCAGGCCAGACCAACTTCATGATGCTCTGAGGCAAGGCTGCAGGACGGGGCATATCAAACAGAACCAATACTGACCTCACTTGGAGTTGAGAAGCTGAATCCCAAGTCCTTAATCTTTCCTCCCATCATCCTGGGTTCCCTACCTCACCCCATCCTCCTGGGGGTCCCTGACCCCCCCATCTTCCTGGGTCCCTGACCGTCCCCCATCCTCCTGGGTCCCTGACCTCCTCCCATCCTCCTGGGTCCCTGACCTCCCCCCCCATCCTCCTGGGTCCCTGACCTCACCCCATCCTCCTGGGTCCCTGACCTCCCCCCATCCTCCTGGGTCCCTGACCTCCCCTCATCCTCCTGGGTCCCTGACCGTCCCCCATTCTCCCAGGTCCCTGACCTTCTCCCATCCTCCTGGGTCCCTGACCTCCCCTCATCCTCCTGGGTCCCTGACCGTCCCCCATCCTCCCGGGTCCCTGACCTCCTCCCATCCTCCCAGGTCCCTGACCTCACCCCATCCTCCTGGGTCCCTGACCTCACCCCATCCTCCTGGGCCCCTGACCTCACCCCATCCTCCTGGGTCCCTGACCTCCCCCCATCCTCCTGGGTCCCTGACCTCCTCCCATCCTCCTGGGTCCCTGAACTCACCCCATCCTCCTGGGTCCCTGACCTCACCCCATCCTCCTGGGCCCCTGACCTCACCCCATCCTCCTGGGTCCCTGACCTCCCCCCATCCTCCTGGGTCCCTGACCTCCTCCCATCCTCCTGGGTCCCTGACCGTCCCCCGTCCTCCCGGGTCCCTGACCGTCCCCCATCCTCCTGGGTCCCTGACCTCCTCCCATCCTCCCGGGTCCCTGACCGTCCCCCGTCCTCCCGGGTCCCTGACCGTCCCCCATCCTCCTGGGTCCCTGACCTCCTCCCATCCTCCTGGGTCCCTGACCGTCCCCCATCCTCCTGGGTCCCTGACCTCCCCCCATCCTCCTGGGTCCCTGACCTCCTCCCATCCTCCTGGGTCCCTGACCGTCCCCCATCCTCCTGGGTCCCTGACCTCACCCCATCCTCCTGGGCCCCTGACCTCACCCCATCCTCCTGGGTCCCTGACCTCCCCCCATCCTCCTGGGTCCCTGACCTCCTCCCATCCTCCTGGGTCCCTGACCGTCCCCCGTCCTCCTGGGTCCCTGACCCCCCCCCCATCCTCCTGGGTCCCTGACCTCCTCCCATCCTCCTGGGTCCCACACCGTCCCCCGTCCTCCCGGGTCCCTGACCGTCCCCCATCCTCCTGGGTCCCTGACCGTCCCCTGTCCTCCCGGGTCCCTGACCGTCCCCCATCCTCCCGGGTCCCTGACCTTCTCCCATCCTCCTGGGTCCCTGACCTCCCCTCATCCTCCTGGGTCCCTGACCGTCCCCCATCCTCCCGGGTCCCTGACCTCCTCCCATCCTCCCAGGTCCCTGACCTCACCCCATCCTCCTGGGTCCCTGACATCCCCCCAATCCTCCTGGGCCCCTGACCTCACCCCATCCTCCTGGGTCCCTGACCTCCCCCCATCCTCCTGGGTCCCTGACCTCCTCCCATCCTCCTGGGTCCCTGAACTCACCCCATCCTCCTGGGTCCCTGACCTCACCCCATCCTCCTGGGCCCCTGACCTCACCCCATCCTCCTGGGTCCCTGACCTCCCCCCATCCTCCTGGGTCCCTGACCTCCTCCCATCCTCCTGGGTCCCTGACCGTCCCCCGTCCTCCCGGGTCCCTGACCGTCCCCCATCCTCCTGGGTCCCTGACCTCCTCCCATCCTCCTGGGTCCCTGACCGTCCCCCGTCCTCCCGGGTCCCTGACCGTCCCCCATCCTCCTGGGTCCCTGACCTCCTCCCATCCTCCTGGGTCCCTGACCTCACCCCATCCTCCTGGGTCCCTGACCTCCCCCCATCCTCCTGGGTCCCTGACCTCCCCTCATCCTCCTGGGTCCCTGACCGTTCCCCGTCCTCCCGGGTCCCTGACCTCACCC